CATTGTTTTTCAGTATACCATAGAAACATGTGGAAAATAATCTACTAATACTAAAGCAGCAAACTTTGCAAAACACAATTTACGTCACTTCCAAAACTTTTGGCCATGACCGTACATGTTGTGATTTAGTGGAGCCAGCTGGTCCAAATAAACTGGTAACTGAACCATCTTTCAAGTGCAAGCGTTTTGTGAATTCCGCGTTGAACTCCCCAAGATTAGAGAAACAGTCTTCAGTAAAATGACGGGAACACAAAAAAAGATTGGGGTTGTACTGCTGTGGTACAGTGGAAAAAATGTATTTTAACCACTGATTCTTTGCAGCAACTTTCGGAAACGAAAATTTACTTTCACAGTGTAGGACACAGCATTTTCTTGACAATGTTAACCACACAAACAAGCTACAAAGTTTGAGGGCGGGGCCAACGTAGAAAATAGGCAGACGTTTATGTAAATGTGTTACTACGTGACGTGTAGCCATCACGGAAGTGGGATTTGAATTACTGACGGCTCGTTTAGCGTCAATTTGTTCAGAGTCAATTCTTTCCTTTGGAAGACAATAACTTTATCGTCTTCGATATTCGGCTTTACAAATTTGCAGATTGTTTACATTCAGATACAGCTACATTACACACTACATGAAAGGCAATATTCTAAATGGCATAATAATAGGGACACTTTGAATAATAATAAAAGCGCAAAATGTGACCATTTTCTCTAGTGTTCACACAGTAAAAAAAAGAAAAGAAAAAAGCTCTATGCTTTGTGTTTTTTTAAATAAACATAATTTTTTTAAAGAATGAGAGAAGGAAAAAGAAAGAGAATAAGTGGACTGAATCATGTATTATGAAATAACAAGAATAAGCTTTAGCAATCATGACATTTAGAGAAAAGCTTTCTAAAAACGAGAGATGCACTGATCAATCAGCCAGGGATCAGAATCAGCTGATTTTCCTCATGATCGGCCCGGATCGGTGATCGGTCGGTCAGTCTCACTTCTTTCCGATTCTGAGCCAATCCGTTTCGTTACCAGCGGCACAGGCAATAACGTCAGCCGCGCATTCTCGCTCTCTTCTCTCCGACGACCCCTTCTCTCTCACACACGTCTCATTCGCTCCGTTTAAATAGTGCTTGTATTGTGCATTATTTTAGTCATTCCCGCTGGTTTTGCGCTTATACCAAACGCTCTGATCTATATTAGTGGAGTACACAAGCCGCGCTCAGTCTCAAACAGCTTGTGAGCCACAAATACCAAAATTAGTGGCTAACTGCGCTAAAACGTTAACATACAAAATAATGTCAAAATGCCGGTCTTGGCCAGTATCCAGTTAAACACAGTTTTGGAATGGTAAATAGTTGAGAAAGAGAACGCATGTTGTGTAACAGTATATTGGGTCCGTGGATAAACTCTTAAAGGGACCGCAGTCCAATATTCCTGCTGCTGTCTGTCATGTTAATCACAGAACAAAAGTGATTAACTGCTCTTGACTGAATACGTTTTATAACTTTAATGGTAAGCATTAATCTGTATTTAATTTTTGCAATGAAGACTGCAGAAATTAAAGTAATCAAATGTAAAATAACACTGGATGTGTTATTTTACATTTGATTACTTTAATTTCTGTAGTATTTCTTACCTGAATAAAAACTTACTTAACCTGAAAAACTTAGTTTCATAGCTCTCTTTATTCTATTGCATTTATTTGTGCTGTTGTTTGCAATTTTTTATGTGTTCTTATTTTATTACTGACTTTTTACTAGATTTTTTTATGAAAATAAAACTTTGCATTGAAGAAAAGTAGATTTTTGTTTGTATATGCTATCAATTATAGTTCTTAGAAAGAAAATCGGAATCGGCAACAATCGGTATCGGCAGATCACACTAACAAAAAAATCGGAATCGGCCAAGAAATTTGCAATCGGTGCATCTCTACTAAAAACAGTGGTTTGTTCACTTTGTTTCCCCACTTCAAATGGCAAACATGTGGAGAACCCACACTGTGAGTGGATTATATTCTGTGCAATATAATATCTCTTACAGCTGAGTTCAACAGTTCAGTATCCACAACGACTTTATTCAGGCAATGATGCGAGCCCGGACCCACCGCATTTTGTCATTCTGAATTTCACGGCTGAGTTTCCCAAACTGAACCAATTCCTGCTGACATGTTGCCAATGGATGAGGCTTTGATAGACTAGTCATGGTGGTTATCGCACACTTGCGCTGTCAGACAGGTGACGGCGAGCAACAGTGTGTATTTGCAAATCGATTTTCAGCAATATGAGGAGAACAGGAAAAGACATTTGCTGAAATGGGATCAATTGTGTATGCAAGTGGAAAGAAAAAAACAGATAAATGTATTGTTGAAACATTGCAACAAGAGGTGAAGAACAGTCCCAAATTGCTAATAAATGTACAGTTTAACAACGTCGTTTGCAGTGCGCTCTTGCGTTACTTGATCTTTTTATTTTGGTGCGTCGGAGGAAGGCTTTGAGCCGAAACGTTTGTATCTTTTCCCATTAGTAATGAATGTAAAATAAAAGAAAAAAGAAGATTGTTCTCGTGAATGCAGATCATAATTTCTTATAATAAATGTACAGTACATTGCACAATATGGTAGCACACTGAATGTGTACACATTTTAATAACAGCTGTGTATCATATTGACTCACTGCATGGTAACAAGCTGTTCCTCTTCAGGAACTCGAGCTGCGTCGGAAACGCTAGGGGAACGCCCTTCAGCGTGACGGGCTCTGAACCTCGTGTGTAATCAGACCAATAGATGGGCGAGACGTCACGGCAGGTGACGTAATGACCAGGAAGCTATAAAAGCACGTGCGGTGAGACCAGCATCAGCTTTTTGTCATTCAGCATGCGCTCTGTGTGTGTGTCAGTCTGATATCTGTTTGCCTTGTTTCGCTCTCAGAGGGCTCTCTTTGAGGAGAGGGCTTTCACTAGTGTTTCTCGCGGTGCCAGCCCTGCTTTCGCCGAGGCAGAGTGGCGGCTGTGCTCGTGGGTTTCGCGTATGGATCCGGTGGAGGGAATGTAGACGGGCGCGTCCCTATCTACTTCCTTAACCACCAGATCCAGCGCCCGCTCTCGGGGTTTCGGAAGCCCGCGCTGCGGTACTTCCCCCCCGGGGAGAGGGTGCGACGCTCCGCCTGTCTTTCTCCGAGGAGATTGATATGGAGGGTGTCAGAGAGCTCGCCAGCTGCACAAACAACTGTTACACAAGCATATCATGCCTGATATTATAACGAACAGCATCAATGGGGAGCAGAGCTCGCGCAGTCGGCTCTCGAGAGAAAAAGAGAAAAAAAATAATAATAAAGAAGCCCGCTGTGAAGCGCTCCGCTCTCGCTCGTCCGTGCCTATGGTCTTGCGATTGCAGTCCCGCTGCTGCTGAGGCACGGCGGCGACTGAGTTCATGGGATTCGCATATGATCTGGTGGACGGGTTGGAGACGGCTCGTCCTATCTCCACCTGTGTTCCCTAGATCTAGAGGCTCGTTGTCGAGGCTGGAAGCCCGCGCTGCGGTTCTTCCCCCTCTGAATGAGAGCTTGCTGATGCGGCCATCTGTTTCTGAGGAGATTGATGTTGTTGGTGTGACTGAGTGGCTCGCGTGCTGCCGAGGCGACGCGTATATTACATCATTCTATTTCGATGTAAATCTTACTCACCAGACCGTATTTACCCCTCTGGTTGTTGACTGCATTTAATTCTGATGAATAAAATGAAGTATTCTTGAGAAGACTATGAGACTATGAGAAGTTAGATACACAGAGGCACTTGGGAAAAAATAAATAAATACATTTTCTCGAGTGAGAGCACGTGTTTACCTCTCTTCCTCTGAGGAGGTTGAGGCGGTCAGCAGTGCACAAAAACAGGAAAACAGAGCGTGGCCTCACGTACTCCACCGTGTTGAGACAGTGGGTCGAGGCGACGCTCTAGGTCGGGGGCCTCGAAGTCTAAGGTCATCTGTGGTCATGGAACAAGAAGTAGTCACTCTTTTGAGGAAGGAGGCCATCGAGGTGGTCCCTCCTCATGCGAGGCAGTCCGGGTTCTACAGCCGGTACTTCATAGTTCCGAAGAAGGTCCTGACGCCACTGGCACAGGACTTATGAGGGCAGTCCCCTCTGGGGTGCAGCGGGTTACACCGCATTACACGGTGTCCGTCTCGCCTCAGTGCCCTCAGGAGATCGGCTGCTAACCCTGCCGGAGTTACAGGGTGCAGCGGTCTCCTGCGAGCGCCACTCTCAGTCACCACCCGGCAACATAGCGGGGCTAAGAGGCTCGCCACCTCCGCGGAGGTCTCTAGAGCAGCGGGTTCGGTTGTTCCCTGCCGGTTCGCCGTTACAGGGCACCGAGCTGGCTGCTCGTATTACACCAGAGATCAGTCTCGAGAGACTGATTCCCTTAGTAGACGTTTTGGCAGCGTGGAAACTACTGCCAAATGTGTCTCAGTGGGTCCTGCACACTGTAGAGAGAGGCTACAGAATCCAGTTTGGTTCTCCCCCGCCTCATTTCAACGGGATTACGCCCACGCTGGAGGGCCCCGAGCGCACACTTTTTATGATCCAGCCCATTTATAATGGATAAACTCCATAAATAAAATAAAACTTAATTGAATATCTTGTTTCACTCATAAATTCACTAGATTAAATGTTAATGGCTTGCAAATTCAATTCATATAGACTTCAGATATGTTGCAGCTATATATTGCTGAAAAACACAAAGCTTTTACTCAATAACATCTCAAGTTACGTATGTAACCCTAGTTCCTCGAGGGAAAGAGACGCTGCGTCGGAAACGCCCTTCAGCGTGACGGGCTCTGAACCTTGTGTGTAATCAGACCAATAGATGGGCGAGACGTCACGGCGGGTCATTTCAGTGGAAGTGCAAGTCATTCAATTTTTGATTAAAGATGAATCAAAATACTCTTTTGTTCAGAATACCATTCACTGATGAATCATTTACAACGAGACAAGGAATGTGCATTAGGACAGTAAATAGGGTCAATTTGTATTTCATGTTCAAAGAAAGCAGGATTTTAACAATGGATTTCTTAATTTCTATGATGTCAAATGGGAAGAGAACACACGAACAGGTGACAATTAGATGCAAGAGGTCATTTCTTTCTCCTGATTTTTCCCTGAAATAAAAACAAAAAACAAACAAAAAGTCAAACAAAGTAGTAAGAACTACTGTCGGGCACCGTAGCCTTAAGAGACTTCCTGTTAAAACTTTTGAATCATTTGTATCGATTTCTGTATCATTATTAAGGCACTTAATTGCACATAGATGACAATACTTTACAGTGAAGACTTTTTGACTGTTTAGCTGCACAAAAACATTTGTTTCTGACCTGTGTGAGAAATTGTTGTGTAACACGCAATTACATGACATAACATGACAACAGGCTTTCGTATAGATGAGTGATAAAACCTACTAATTAACAAGTCCCCAGAGAACCCTCTTTATAAATCTGTGTCCAGTATTAACTAAAGCAATAATAAGTTTTTTTGTTCTATTTTGGTAAATTTCTTAGGGGACTAAAAGCTGGGCTTGATGCATGAATGGTGATAGTACTTTGAATTGCATTTAGGACTTTGGCATGAACATACTCTCTTTTTCATAAATTAATACAATTGGGAATAAATTAGTTCTCTGCTAATTAGGCTGGCAGCCAGTTTCGAATGCTATGCTACACGAACATCAAGCATGGAACACTGGTATTGTGTCATCCGAGGAGTGGAATATTCCTCTATTCTCCAGCACTTATCCCAGTTCCACACCACTAGGATCAGGATGCCAATTTCATCCCCTCATAATGAGGATCCACACTGCTCTTATATACCACATCAGAATTTGCATATGAGCTGTCCCAGTGTTTTGTCACATTGAATAAGTATCCGTTGTCCAAAAAACTCTCTTGTAACAGCTTCTCAAAGCCTACATCAGTTCTACTTAGAGCTCGTCCAAGTTGCAATTACTTATCGCTGTGCCCAGATGGAATCTGTGGGCTTTTATTGTAAATGTAATCAAATTAGTCAAACTGTTTAATAAATAAACATGCAGAGTTGGGCAAGACACTCAAAAAATTATAGCAGTACATGATATATTACAAGTTAATGGAAAAAGGTAGCTACACATGTAGGCCTATACACTAGTGTTATACAAAAGTTTGGGCTCAGAAATTTTTATTCATTTATTTAAAAATAAATTAATACTTTTATTCTGCAAAAAATATATTAAATTGATCAAAAGTGACAATAAAAGACATTTATGTTACAAAAGATTTCAAATAAATTATATTTTTAAATAAATGCTCTTTCCATTCATCAAAGATTCTTGAAAAAAAAAATCACAGTTTCACAGTGTAACGTGTTGTACTAATTAAAGTGCACAACAAAGGAGTATTATCCAAAAAAACTCTTTGAATTATAAATGAATACAGACAGGAGAATCGCAGGAGCAAATGTAGCACACACAATGGTAACGAAAATTTACCATTGTGTGTGCCACAATGGTCATGACTGAACAGAACAGGGAATATAAATAAGGAGACTAATGAATGAGTGACAGCTGCAAATCATAAGTAACCATAGAAACAAATCAGGACTAATAGGAAACTAGGGCAACAGAATTAAAACAGGGCAGGTGAACAGGAAGAAACACAACAAAAATTCCATAACTGTTACAGCAGCTCCCCCTCCCAGAAAGGGGGCTCTGGAGGAGGACGCGGAGGACATGCAGGACAGGGAACCAGGGGAGAAGGTGTATGGAGAGACCAAGGTGGAACTTACGAGCCAGGATCAGGAGGAGCCAGGTAGAGATACAGAGAACAGCCAGGACTGAGGCCCATGGTGGAGTCGAGGGAGGGAGGAGCCATGATGGAGAGGGCCTTGATGACACCATGGGGATGAGCGATGGAGACGGAGCTTCTGGAGGTGGAGCAGAGCAGACGGAGAGCCAGGGTGACACCAGAGGTCCGGAGGGCCAAGATGGAGTTGGCGGCTCATGCAAGCGAGGTGGACAAGGGGGGGGCCGGAGCGACTGAGGACAAGGTGAAGTTGGAGGGAAGGAGGAGCCAGACAGAGCCAGAGGGATGGAAGGACGAGACGAAGCTGGAGGAGTGGAATCCCGCTGCGGAGGAAGATCGAAAACTGACCAAGGCAGAGCCGGAGGGACGAGGGAGCCCGGTGGAGCCAGTGGGATAATGGGCCATGGTGGAGAACAGGGAGCAAGGAGCCAAGGTGCAAAGAACCGAGGTGGAGTCTGGGATTCAAAGGCTGGAGGCGGAGACAGGGGATCCTCACGCCTAGGCAGAGCTAGAGACTGGAACGCCCGAGGTGAATCAGAGTGCCCTGATAGCGCTGACTGAGGATGGGAACTCTGAGGCTGAGGTGGGAACTCAGGAGACACAGGAAGCTCAGGAGATGCAGGAGAATCAGGGCTGGGCGGAACCAGTGGAGATGCTGGAGATTCAGGGCTGGGCGGAACCAGCGGAGACTCAGGAGACATAGGAAACTCCCCAAACCAGTTAATTAAATCTACATCAAAGATGTCCATCAGTTCCTTTAAATAGTTTCTAGAGGCCAGTTGCAGCTCACCCTCAGTGGCGGGCGTGTGGGCGGGGCTTCCCTCCAAGCCGGCGATCTCCACTAATACTCCCTCTGCGACGCTCGTTGTTGCCGGCTTGCACACCTGGTCAGATGCATCGTGAGGCTCGGGCTCCGGGGCAATAACAGGCTCAGGCGCATCCTCTTGCACTGGCTCTGTCACGGCGGGCTCTGGCTCTCCATCTGCGGTGGGCTCTGGCAGACGCTCTGTGCAGTGGGGTGATGGCTGGCTGGGCTCTGGGTCTGGAGTGGGGCTGGTGACTTCCTCCACTGGGCCGATGGTAAAAGGCGATCAACATCATTCACTAGCACGCACTCCACAAATGCGATGAAGTTGTCTTGAGGACCATGCCCGGACAGCTTAGCCTTTGTGACGGTGTTCAGTCCCACGTAATAAAACATGCACAGGCAACTGTTCAGGTAATGCGTCAGGAATACTAGATCTAAAAAATCCCTTGTGTGGTCCTCAAGGGAGCGATCCCCCTGCTCAAGCAAGAGGAGCTGGACGGCAGGTCCATGAAAAACAAAAATAAACAAAAGAAAAATGCAGCAAAACTACTCACTTTATGGCCTGTTATAAGTAAATAAATACATAAATGAACCTATAATGTGACTTCAATGTTTCCAACTGGTTCAACTGATTTATTGAAAAGAAACACTCAGAAGAGTCATACATTTTTTAATCTATGATTACTTGTAATAGTTCTAAACATCCATCATAGAATACTGTACACACAAGTTCTCATTTCTGAAATATTGTCAATAATGTTGCAGCAACACAACTCGCTACTTATAAAATAGAACTGTTTCACTACTGAAAACTACATGATTAAGAATAGTATCACTTCCACCTTACTAGCAGATTGACTAGTTTCAGTGATGCTACTGCTGATCACTGTGATGTGTGGAACTTTGTAAACGGCACTCATTCTGATTCAGTGAGGAAAAAGTTGCTGTGAAGGAGAATCTTCTCTACGAGTTTCTACTGCAGCTTTGAGAATGTGAAGAGGAGAAGGTGGGTTGTTACTGTCAGGGTTTAACTGCAATTATCCCTTCATTAAAATATATTAGATCATTAATAATCAGTCAGCCTTACCACATTTAGATGCAAGTAAATCTTACTTCAGTCCAAGGTGTTGGGAGTCCAAGGTGCACGGCAGTCATATCCATCATGTCTGCTTAACTAACATGACGATATGAGAATCCATCATCAAAATCTAATCTCATGGCAGAATTAACAGTCCCCCCCCCTCCTCTCTGATAAAAAAGAACCCCCCCCCCACCCACAATTCTACAAATAGAAGATCCTGCAACTGCAAGCCAGGCTTTTTGCACTTTGAGACCGAGAAGATTTGTAGTGTTTAAAAAAATGTCACATCCTAATGAGAGAGACTCAGCTGTCAGTGAACATCGCTCCTGAGAAAATGACAATATAAGCTCACTTGATGCCCTCTCTATTTCTCCCTCCCTTTCTGTTATTGTTTCCCTCCTTTTTTTGGTCTAGTCCCCCATCAAACGCATGTGAGCAACGACAAGAGTGCCAATTGACCTTTACAACTGGCAGCTGTTCGCCTCCTGCAAAAATTGTATGTGATGAGGTTACGATTCTGTCACAGTCATTGGTTTTGTGGCAATCATTGTCCATCTTGCATGTATCAGTGTGTGCTTAATTATGGATCGGTAGTTTTTGCTGGTACATGATCTGAAAATGAATTCAATTAACCCCCTGACTGGCAGTGGTAGGTGGGGCGTCCGTGTCAACATTTGACAAGTGACACGAGATAATTGGGTTCAAGTGCATTAAAAATACTCCAGTTGTACTTGCCTTTGGTCTGGACACTAGATATTTGACTCACTTTTTTGAAAAGTCAGACCTCTGCTTCCAGTAATTTTTTGTGTCCATTATAAAAATGCAGTTATTTCTGGACTGAACACTGAATTGCACGTAATTGCATCAGACATACAGAGATTATATAAAGAGACATATTACAGCAGACCTTGACACAGTGACAGTGGACAGAAGTTCTCTTATGGCGCTTTTCCACTGCGTGGTACGACTCGGCTTGGTACGGCTCAGTACGGCACGGCACGGTTCGGCTCGGCACGGTTTGTGTTTCCACTGCAGTTCAGTAACGCTTTAGAGTGGGCGGGATTATTCACATGTCGTTATAGTTGCGCCCGCCTCTACTACCACAACTCCAAAAAAAACTTTTTCATTCCGCATCGCTCCATCAAGCTCTCGCTGGATCCACTCCTCTGCTATCAACGAGAGGAACGTCTGTACTTCCGCAACAGACAACAAAACTTTTGTTAAAAAAAGGTGCGCTCGTTCAAAACAGTTGCGTTCGGTCCTTCGCTGGCTGTGCTGATTTAAATCTAGCGGTTCTTTTGTGCTTGTGTCACAAGTTCAATGATGCAGGTAGTGACGATTGTCTCCGGCCAATCCGTGATCAGCAGAGTTTACACGTCACGCTTTGGTAATGGTACGGTTCACTTGGAACCCCAACCGAAGTGGTACTAAAAAAAGTACCAGGTACCAGGTACTGTACCCAGTGGAAAACCCCCCAAAAGTGAACCGTACCGAGCCGTACCATGCAGTGGAAAAGCGCCAATAGTGGCCCTGGCATGGCCAGGAAGAGAATTATTGGGGAACAAGGAGGAGGAATAAGATCAGGAGTATTACAGGCCAGTAAGTGTGCAAACTACTTGGCCATGATTTGAGAAGGTGGGCGTATTTTGATACATGATTCATTTACGGCTTAGGTCATTGGGCCAAAAAATTAATTAACAAATAAATAAACTGGGCTGCTCAAATAAACCAATATTTTCTGACAGTTCAAAATAAATTTACAGCTCAGGTCATTAGCTCAAAAAAAAGAGAAAAGTAAATAAATAAAATAAAATCGGGCTTTCCACCTCATGATTAAATATTTTTCACTAAATATTGTGACTTAATTTCCCATAATTGTGCAACTTTCATTTCTCGCAACAGCAACTTTATATTTCACATCTTTATCTTTCATAATTGCAAGTATTTCTCACAATTGTGATTTTTTTGATCTCCCAGTGTTCCTTTATATCTTCTTAATATCTTGCAATTGGGAATATGTCTCAATGTGATGATAAATAAATTGTGACTTCAATTTAGAATTTCTCTTCATTTTATATATCACCTTTATATATCACAGTTCGACCGCATTTCTTAGTTTAAACTTCATTTCTATTTCTTATATTTTTCTCTGAGATTTGCTTCAGCACAGAGTCAGAGTGTTTACACTTTCAGTAGAACTTAATCTACAAATGATTACTAATATCTATTTTTGCAAATAAGCTGTGAGAAAGTATTTGAATATCAAAAGAAATGACACACTTCACCTTTAAACCAGAGTCAACAATAGTCCAGATGAGCAAGGAAGATTTCATCTCCAAACTTGGACACAGAATCATCGTGCAAATTATGGTCTGCTGCTCTTCAGATGTCCTCAGGCGGTTCATTTTCAACCTAACATTCCATCAGGGCAGGGGTTCAAGGTCAGTGGCAGTCAGCCTGAGTGCTGGAGCAAGTTGTGGTTTTTGAGGAGCAATTAAACCGAATGCTAACAGAAGGCTGAGAGCTATGAATGCGGAAAGGATCATGCTGGGGTCGTCTTGTTAACATCAGAGTCACAAACAGAGACTTCTATAGAGATCCAACTCATCCTTCATGATGTAAAGACAAAGCAAACGTATATAGCAGCTTTTGACAGGTTGAATGGCTTTCACTAAACTAAAGAAATGTAATCATAAAGACACATTCATACAGCAGTCACATGACATATAGATCTGTTAAGCTATTCACAAGCACTTCATTTCACACTGAATAGTCCCATTTTAATAGGTCAATGTCTAAGTCCAAGTAAAAGAGTCATGAATGACTACAAATGGCACAATAGGAAAAGGCAGTGTCCTTCCAAAAAAAAAATTAGCAAAGGAAAAAAAACATGGGTTGTGAAAATTAGACATGATTTAAGACTTTTACAGAGTACAACCAATTGAACAACTGTACGTATGTCCTTCACAGTCTTGTTTTTGTCTATGAGGCTAAACAGATGGTCTGATGGCCTGGGGACAGTGTGAGACGGGCTAGTTTCGGACTAGATGATGGACATGCCAGTTGCATTATTGGGGCAGTGCTGCGTTACATCTTATATTAAATGATGTATTTTTGACATCAATCTATCTATATATCAATCTATCTAAAAAATTATTAATAAATATTTACATTTCTTTAAATATGGTGTTTACAGTCCATAGAGCAGCTCTGGGTAATAGACAGACAGACAGACAGACAGACAGATAGATAGATAGATAGATAGATAGATAGATAGATAGATAGATAGATAGATAGATAGATAGATAGATAGATAGATAGATAGATAGATAGATAGAAGTCAAACCAAAGTAATACATGGATGCACATACTGTTCAGAAATTAGCTTCAACTGTTCAGTTGTTCCAAAAATTATATTGTCCTGATTAAATGGCGATGAAAAAGGGGAAAATCCAAGAGGTAAGTTAGCAGATGGCCTTCAGGCATTAACCTCTGGACTAGTTGTTCTGTGACGCAAGGGCAGAGTTTCATTTTATTACCAATATAACAAAGTAATGCAGATTTGAAGAGCTTTGACAGAGCGAAATCCAGGGCAATCTCTCTGATGGACAACAAACCCCCTCCTTGCTTACTCGCACAAACATGCTCACTCTGTACACTCACCACACTTTCTCTTGCCCTGTCATCATTCCGCCTCTTTCTTTTCCTCCCTCACTCTTTCAGCATCTGTCTTCGTGCTTCTTTTATCCCACCTTTCTTCTTCTCTCTCTCTCTCTCACTCTGTCAGTCTCCACCCCTGCAGTTCTAGTGCTTGTTGCAGAACCCGTTCAGCTGTCACAGCCATAAGCAGACATTATCCACTGGCATACATTTGTGCCTTGGACTTCTGCAAGTAATGACTGCAGCATTAGGATTACCTCTGGACCCCCCCACCTCGACTATTCAACTGCAATCATTCTGTCTGTGACGGAGGGGGAGGAAGCAGCCTTTATCACACAGGGAGAGATGACATAAGTTAGAGTGGTGGAGAATGAGTCATCAAATACAGTTACTCTTTCTGAGTAGCTAATGCTTATGCTAGCTGGGCTTCTGCTGAGCAGGAAATGATGGCTTTGCTAAAAAGCTTGTATCTGTCATTAGACTACTACTAACACGGAGAAGTGTAACATATATGGCTGCTTCAAATAGAGATTTGAAGAATGTGATTAAAGGGACAGTACTCCCAAAAATTATGTTCGCTTAATCACTCTCATGTCATTCCAAACAAGTTTGACTTTGTTTCTTCTGTGGTACTCAAAAAGAGAAATTAGAAATAATTTTTTCAATGTACTTTGAGAGCTTTCAAGTTTCAAAAAGGAGGCGAATGAACCACAAAAGTGGTCCACACAACCTTGCTTTATTCCAGATCTTCTGAATCATACAATGGTTTTGTGTGAGAAACAGACTCCAGTGAGCTGTTGACATAATAACCGCTGTGACTGGATCAGTGAATCCTTCAATTTGGTTTGGTGAACTGAATCAACTGATTCAATTAATAGATCTTACTCAAAAGTATGTTTCATTCACAAATTAGACATCACTACTCCTCTCATAAACACATTGAGGGGAGCTAGGGTGAGATGTTTAATGAATAACAACTTCAATGAATAATAACCTCACATTTTGTAGCACCACTCGCTGGATATTTCACATTTAAAGTGTTGTGAAACATGCAAGAATCAATGTAATACAATTTCACAGAAATTCTGCAATAGGGCACATTTTTTCAAATAAATCTAAGTTGCTTTTATGATACTTTCCCAGCACTTTTGTGTCCTTTTTGAAGCTTTTAAAGTCTCCATTCATTATAATTGCTTTCAAAAAATTACTAGTATATTCTTCCAAATATCTCTGTTTGTGTTCCTCAGAAGAAAGTAAGTGAAAAATGAAACACATGAAAATTCTCATGTTTGGGTGAAGTATAAGCAAATTTCTAAAGGACAAAAGTGCTGCTGTCTGCATAAAAACTTACAAAAATTGAACTGCCAAGACAGTCATCTGTGACAAAGTACTTCACTGAACAGTCGAGTTTTTAATTATATTATCATGGCCCAAAAAGCAGGTGACAATTGACATGCGTTTGCCTCACCAAGAAAATGATTCGATTTCAAACAAGCTTTCATTTTATGTAGAAATAATAATAATAATCCTAGAGCAAAGTATGATGGGTTTAAGCAAATTTCATGAGACGGTCTACAGCACTTACGAGATCTTGTGTTCATTAGTTTTCACTAAGCCAGTGCAATATGCAAAGGTCAGGATTATTTGATGCACCTAAATAGGACATAATGATCACACATGCTGAATTCATAGTAGGGTGTAACAAAAAACAAAGCTCAGAGAGACCGGGTAATTACAGAGAAACAAAATAAAAGCAGTGAATCGTGACTAACAAACAAAATCACTGACTCAGAGCACAACAGGAAACCCACAAAGGCTATTTCAGACCAATCTGGCCCTCTAGACAAAAAATGAGTCTGAAGACATTAGAGAAGTAAAATGCTGACACAAGATAGTATTGTGAAGTGTTATTTAAAATTCAAGCCAGAATGATTTTTTTGTGGATCCATACAGTTTTAGCAATTATATCTTGAAGTGCTGAGCGCTTTTCAGCCAATGCTACATTTTGTTCCTCCAAGAGCACGTTTTCAATGAAATCTGTCTTCTAGCAGAATGCACTGTTAATTAAGGCATACACAGAGGTCATTTAAACAAATTTTTTTTTCAATGGAGAAAGTACAAAATGTGTTTACGTGCGTGAATTGCCCTGAAATGCAGTTCTTTTACAAAGCAGACCTGTCATGCCATACAGTACATGTAAGATCGGTGGTTGAGAACAATACTTTCGACAAGGCCAACTGGATAAAGGACTACATACAATCTGTCTTGGGAAGGACTTCATGTGCCACTATTGTTTCTAACACATGTCCATTAGCGTGCAAGTTTTTAACAAGATGACAGGAGCATTATGGGAAATAACAGATCTTTCTGACATCTCTAAAATGCCAGATACTTAATTAAAATCTCTTAATTAAATGTATTTTAATTTAATGGTTTTAATTGTAGCGGCATGTTTATTAGGATTAATCTCCAATCTGTCTACAATATAGTGCTATCCAATAACTGCACTCAGACCCATGACTCGTTTAGGCTATGATCAGATCAAAACTGTTATTTTTGAATAATCGACTCTGGGCTTAATATTTCTTTATTTGACTGAAGTTTGATTTAACAACAAATCGAAATATGATCTGATCATAGCCTAAACGAGTCATGGGTCTGAGTGCAGTTATTGTATAGCACTAAATTGTAGACAGATTGGAGATTAATCCTAATAAACATGCCACTACAATTAAAACCATTACATTAAAATACATTTAAAACAGTGTATTTCAATAATTTCAGCAGCGTGCAGATCCTCGTTTATGTCAGACTGTGGCGACAGCAGCGCGGACAGTCGCTTAGCTCGCTCACATGTAGTCTACCATATATCTATAATAACGGGAAAGCATATCGTTTTTATGACATAATATGTCATTATTACGAGAAAAAATATGTAGTTTTAACGAGATAATTATATAGTTTTTACGACATAACATCTCGTTTTTACGAGAAAAGATGTCGTTTTAACAAGAAAACATCTCGTTATTACGAGAAAATATGTTGTTTTAACGAGAAAACATCTTGTTATTATGAGAAAAGATGTCGTTTTAATGACATGACATCTCGTTATTACGACATAATTGAGTGGAAAAAATAATATGTGTGTGGCAGCAATGTGTCACTGTACAATACATCTCATTTGCATTATGACTATAATTTGATATTCTATGAAATCATGAACTGTAGGTGAGGGTAAGGAATGTATCCATAGCCAGAACATGTTTTTCACTTTCTGCATCAATGAAATTATCGTTAACACTTACATCTGACCCTGTCACGTGCCTGTATTTTCGAGTCAAACTGAGACAAAGTCCTCTTCAGCAATTCATTCATGCTATGCTATGATGATATGGAATGCATTACATTGCATTAACCTCTACACCTGTGCTAATTGAATCTGTGAGTCTTAATGAGACATGCAGAAAAGATCAGCATTGTGCATCGCTCACCAAGGTTGTCTGTAATTACAATTAATGATGCCCCTATACTTTTTTCATTTATTTCAACAGAAAATTAATGGTTTGCCAATCAACCACGACAGAAACGTATGTTCTAGCCTGAATGTAAGTTAATTAGGTCCAGCTAAAGTGCATGAGCAACAAACACATCCATTACTTACACAGCACTATGAGCTCCACAATGGCCTCTCGGGGTTTGACGTTGAAGCCATTGTACTGGCTGGTTTGGCAGCGGTACGTGCCGGCCATCTCGCGGGAGACATTGACGATGCGCAGAACTCCGTCATAGCTTTCGGTTTGCATGTTTCCATCCAGCATGGGTGCTTCTTTATCAGCACGGGACCAGAGGATGATGGGTTTGGGTTTGCCGGAGACCAGGCACTGCAGATCTACAGTGTCACCCTCCTGAGTGACCAAAGGGGACTTTTCTCGTGGGACGGTCAGGTTGGGTGGTACTAGAAGAGAGCAGATGACGATCACAATGATCATATCATAATGAGCTATGAAAATATCACAGTGCATCATTTTACTGCACAAAACATGTTATGTAAAAAACACAAGACCTTAAAGACATGGTCCGGGTCCAATACAAGTCAACAGGGTTTATTACATAATGATGATTACAAGAAGAAAAATAGATACACACTACAAAAGTTTGTTTACTACACTACTCAAAAATTTGGGATCGGGGAGATTTTTT